TCGCAGCACAGACAGACAGACTCCCTACATACCCAAAGGGTGGTAGCTGCTTAAAAATTCTGGAGCAAAGGGGATAAGACAGTTGTTTTGTTTGATTTTTTGGTTTTGTTGGGGGGCACATCCAGCAGTGCTCAGAAATTACTCCTGGTGGGCTCAGAAGACCATATAGAATGTCAGGAATGAAACCCAGGTTGGCCACATGCAGGGCAAATACCCTACCTGCTGTACTATGGCTCCAACCCCTGCTTTTCTATTCTTTCCTTTTTTAAAAAACCCCCTTAAGTGGAACTTCACAGTTCAAAATGTGTTGTTCTTAAGGGTCAACTGTACATTGTATCACTCCTCAAAATACCTTTTTTCATTGTGGGGGGTACCTGGTAGCTCACTAGGAGCCAGGGACACTCCCAATAATGTTCAGGGGTCACCAGGGACACTCCTCATAAGGGTGCTCTAGAGGCTGTAGAGTTCTAGGACCAAATTCAGGGCCTCACACATGCAAAACATGTGCTATGCTACTCTATTCGAACCACCTTCAAGACCTCCCAAATAAATCTGTGTAGAGTCGAGGGGGGTGATATATATAGCACAGCGGGTAGGGCGTTTACCTTGCACACAGTCAACCAGGCCGACCCAGGTTTGATTCCTGCACCCCTCTCGGAGAGCCCTACAAGCTACCGAGAATATCTCTCCCACACAGCAGATCCTGGCAAGCTACCCGTGATGTATTCGATATGCCAAACACAGTAACAAGTCTCACAATGTTACTGGGCCCGCTCGAGCCAATCAATGAACAATGGGAGGACAGTGTTTATAATACACTCACACACACACACACACACACACACACACACACACACACACACACATATCATATATCACTATCACTGTATCACTGTCATCCCATTGTTCATTCCCCTGACCCTGAAAGAGCCTCCAATTGTTGGGAAAGACAAGCAAGGGGAGGCTGCTAAAATATCAGGGCTGGGAGGAATAGAGATATTACTGGCACCCACTCAAATAAATATCATATATCACATATATATTAAAGATAACACAAACAGAACAAAATTTTTAAAAGAATAATCTTCTCCATTGGTTACAGTCCTTTGGCACCCACAAACATAAACCAGGTGAAACAAAGAATAAGCCACATAAATTGAGGCCCAAATATAGTACAAACTACTTTTTAGGTGACACTCATTATTACAGATCCATTGATCAGGAATACAAGTGTCCAGAATTAGATGATCAAGAGATTTCTCCACAGGAGATTCACAAAAAACCAGGGCACCAGGAACACATAAAAGTTCTCTCCCAGGTATATCGTTTAGCAACAGAGCATGTATCTCACAATCCCCAGCACCAAAACAAACAAGGGAGGCCAGAAAGTAGCTCAGTAGTATATCGTTCGCCTAACATGTGTGAGACCCTGAGGTTAAGCTCTGAAGACGCCAGGCCATATGGCTGAGGAGATGGTTGTCGCTTCACATTTCCCCATCTCTTCGGGGTCCTGGCTGCCACGCCCATGAACTGCCTCTGATCCACAATTAAGTGTGCCACTAGCCTTGATCCAGGGACTCACTAATGAATCTCAAAACGGATTAGTGCCCAACAGAGATGTCTCTGGACCCCAGTCATTTACATATTTAGAATTCCAGAAGCACGTGGTCACAAAAGTGGCCATGCAACCTTTCATGATATTCATAATAAGTAATAGAAAATAAATTATCTAGAATCTGTCTGTGGCAGGCAGGCTTGAACAGTGGTGGGAAAATTCGAAATAATGGTGGTGGGAAGGTGTAATGGTGGTGGGATTGGTGTTGATATATTGAATGTAATCAATGTGAACAAGCTTATGAAAATAATATTTAAAAAAAATAAAAAATGACTGGAAAAATACAATGTCATTTACAAAATGAAATACTACTAAGCAGTAAAAAGGAATGGACATGTAAATAAATAATTTTAAAGAATAAACTACTACTAATAAAAATACTAATGAAACAATTTTAAAAGGCTTCCTTCTACCAGCTAATGGTCATTGCTACATAACAGACAGTATTTCTTTTATTTCAATAGGGGAAAAAATTAATATATCCAAGTTTTTAAAATTTTTAAAATTTTAAATTTGATATAAGTGCCTAATATGTTGGGCTGGAGTGATAGCACAGCAGTAGGGCGGTTTGCTTTGCACAAGGCCAACATGGCCAACCCAAGTTCAATTTTTCCACCCCTCTCGGAGAGCCCAGCAAGCTACAGAGAGTATCCCGCCTGCAGGGCAAAGCCTGGCAAGTTACTTGTGATGTATTCGATATACCAAACATAGTTAACAAGTCTCACAGTGTTACTGGGCCCGCTGGAGCAAATCCATGAACAATGGGAGGAGAGTGACAGGGACAGTGACCTAATTTGTTTAAGTGTATATGAAATTAGTGGAAACAGAAACTACGCACCCCTTACTAATAAACCTTGCTTTTATAAACTTGGTGACTTTTTTGCAAAAGTACTAATATTTTTTAAATTTTATTATCTTCTGAAATATTGTTATAACCACTACTAGCCTTAAGTTTTTCTTTAAGGCTATCCTAATTCGAGAAAAGGAGTAAATCTATTATTTAAGTATCACAGCAGGGAACACTACTGAAATAATTTTAAAGTTGTGGTTTTCTTTTTTTAAACAATGTTAATGATAAAAACGGTAGTGAATTGTGAAACTTGTTCCAGAGCATTGCTGAGGTTTTCCCTTTATATGAAATGTAAGACTAACATTTTTATAATTATTGCCTTCTGGTATAAATTCAAATTTTACTGCATCTAATATGACAAGTCTTCCATTTGTCATAAATATTTGCCCATAAATTGTCTTTTAAATGTAAGATAAAACATTTAAAAACAAAAGTTATCAACTCTAGTTATCATACTGCACATAGTAACTATAGTAATATTCTTAAATGAATTTGAATCAAACTTGTAATATTCTTAAATGAATTTGACTCAAACTTTTCTTTCTAAATTACCTTTCCTGTTAGATCTATTTATTAAAATCTGTTGGTTTAATTGTAGATTCCAAGTTATAGGAACGAAGCAGAAGAATTAGGGAAGTATTGAGATAGTCACAGATTTTCAAGTTTAAACATTTTCTATATATATTCCACAATTCTGGAGATGTAACTTGACTGGGAAGAAAAGTTAATTCCAAGGTATAATAAAAAAAAAAGACTATCCAAAAAATTAACAAAAGTTGATTGTTTAGCATTGAAAGACAGGATATTAGTTAAAAGTATAAATGTGTTTCTTCCCTTATAAGAGATTAGTTTAAGGGATGGGTGTTGGAACACTGTATGACTGAAACCTAATCATGAACAGCTTTGTAAGGGTCTACCTCACAGTGATTCAATAAAAAAAATTTTTTTGAAGAGATTAGTCTATTGTTTTCCCTGATAATTACTATCTTTCCCAAATGGCAAAAGTCCAAATCTTTTTTACTTTTATACACAGATAAAAGAAAAGAAGATATTTTAAGTTCCAAATCATTCAACCAGAGAAATTTAGAACTCCAAGTACAAAAAATAGTGATCGACATTATAGATTTACAACTAGCTTATATTCTTTTCACAGCACAATTATAAGATGGGATTCATATTCAGGGAACACATTTCTAATTTGCAGTCTGATATTAAACTTCCCACGGGTACCCACGTTTATTCTTCCCAGAGATAAGGAGTAGTTTACCAATGAATTTGCATTTCCTTTTAGCAAAGGAGCTTTGAAAGGGAAATACTGGCATACTGTAAGACCAGTAGTAAAAGGTACACTCTCTACACTATGCCTACCTATCTAGAAAAGAAAGTAAAGGGGAAAAATCAGGAGGAAGGGGCTGGAGTGATAGCACAGTGGGTAGGGTGTTTGCCTTGCATGTGGCCGACCCGGGTTTCACTTTCAGTATCCCATATGGTCCCCTGAGCACCACTAGGAGTAATTCCTGAGTGCAGAGCCAGGAGTATCCCCTGTGCATCGCTGGTGTGACCCAAAAAGCAAAAAAATAAATAATTAAATTAAATTAAAAATCAATAGGAAACATCATAAAAAATCGCTTATTTGCAGCTGGAGGATTAGTACAGGGGTGAAGGAGCATGTCTTGCCTGCATACACCTCCCACATATGGTCCCCAGAGCACCAACACCAATGAGTCTTGAACACTGCTAGGTGTGGTCCAAACCCTCCCTGCCAACTCTGCCTCCCCCCAAAATTAGCCTATCTGCTTCAGGAAAAACAAACCTTCACATCAGTTTATCAATGAGAACTTATTTTTAACATTAAACCAACATAACTTTTAATTATTTAGATTTGGGTTTTGAAATGGTTGGTGAAATTGAGATCTTTGAGATGTCTGATACTTGCAGAAATAATGCCAAATTGACTTCCTCTTCACTAATTACCTTTGTGTGGGGCCAATAAAAGGACACATAATATGATCAATCCACATTTGTATTAATTTGTTTAATATAATCTTCCAAATAGGGGTGGGAAGCAGAAAGAAAACTCACATGGTCCAACGTATGCCTAGCCAGCGCAAAACTCTGAGTTCTAACCAATGGCACCCCATTACTCCAGCCAATGTAAATATAACCAGCCCTCTACATTAAACTATATGTGATTTTACACCCCAAACAAACAAACTAGCTGATTGTACAGGAGTCTATAGCTGTCTGTGATTGCTAAATTATAAATGCATCTAGAAAGAGATAAATATCCACAGCTACATACTCCTAAAGGTCTTAATTGAGGAAAACTCAAGATGCCTTTCTCGAAGTCTGACTCCCAAAAGGCACATGAATGTTACAGTTTTTGTTATAAAACAAGATAACAGAGCACAAGAGTGATGCTTGAATACATATAGAGTTGGTCTATATAAATTGAGAATTTTATATTTACTTTAACACTTCTATTTATCCTTAACTCACTGCTCCCAGCACTGTTTGTTGCACTCTGGCACTCACCAGTAAGAAGATAAACGCATACAGTGATGTACAGTGGTGAAGCACAAAACCCACGTCACCAACCACTTCCCAATTCAAAAGCAGAATCACTAAATCTGTAAGAGGAAAAAGTAAGTATTATATAGGAAAAGAAAGCTACACTTGTTTATATAAAATTCTTTATCCCAACCACTCTGACCACAAAGCACCTGATCCATATGTCAGTGGCCCAATAGCCACTGTGTCATCAAGTGATCTATTTCTACTTGTCTCTCCCACTCCCTTCACAGTGGTGTGAGCAGTTTAACACAGTGCCTCACATATATTTATGGACTCACTTACAGATCATATTAATGAAGAAAAAAGTTTAGGCATAAATTACTGTGTTCTAGTTTTTGCTGGCTGTGTCAGAGATCAAACTCAGGGCCTCACACATGCAAAGCAAGGGTTCCAATAATGAGCTATAGCCTCAGTTTAAATTACTGATTTTTAAATCACTACAATAAGGGAGAGGCAGAAAATATTTTTTTTAAATGATACACTCATCTACAGCACAAAGTTTTCAAAAGTATTTTATATTTTAAAGAATGCAATTAGATATTAATTCCATTCTGGAATCACCTGCATCTTGACTTGGGGTGCACAATTCTTTTCTTTTATTTCACAAGGTTTCCGTTTTTCTTTTCCTACTCTCATCTTAGTTTTTTTTTTTTTTTTTTTTTTTGCTTTTTGGGTCACACCCGGTGATTGCACAGGGGTTACTCCTGGCTCTGCACTCAGGAGTTACTCTTGGTGGTGCTCAGGGTACCATACGGGATGCTGGGAATTGAACCCAGGTTGGCCGCATGCAAGGCAAACACCCTACCTGCTGTGCTATCTCTCCAGCCCCTCATCTTAGCTTCTAAATAAAACTATTTTACTTCACGGGGCCAGAGTATGATACAATAGTCAAGATGCTTGCTTGCACACACTGAGCCAGACTTGATCCTCGGCACCCCATCTGGTCCCCCAAAACCCCTGCAAGAGTGATTCCTGAGCACAGCGCCGGAAGTAAGCCAAGTATGGCCCCCAAACCAAAACCAATAAGCAAACCAAAAGACTATTTGACTTCAAAATTTAAAATACTAAGTGAAAATAACAAAGTTACTAAGAACTTGACTAAAAGAAACACCAGAAGATCAAGGTATCCATTTAAAAAAAAAAAATCTGAATCTAAGCTTCACAATTGAGAAAGGAATTACCTGCCATTAACAAGAGAAACTCTCAGAATATCAACACAACAATTTTCTTGAACAAACGGCTAAACATTTAAACTCTGATGCTTTGGCCACTCTGGATGAAGCCTGGGACAGGATTCACATTATGTGGGGTGAGGGTTTATATAACAGACAGCCTTCTCTTAAGAGGAACAACATTTCTAAAACTACACGTAAATATCTATTTTAAATTATCATACTACAAATTAAAGGATAAATGAAAACATGGAAACAAAGAAAATACAATGCAATTAGCCACCTCTGTAGATACATTTTCCCTACATGTTTTGACCATGCACATTTTTTGCACCACTTTATATTATGATTTTGTAATATTTCCTATAGAGAGCAAAAAAAATTCATTTTTCACACAATATTTTTAGTGAGTTCATTTTATCTCATAATTGTTAAATTTTTAAATGTCTGGGAATGTCTGTCACCTGATTTGCAAAATTTTTAACCAATGTTCCGTTACAAGTTTTCCCAGGCTGTGACTACTCTTTTAATTGATGGTACTACTTAGCCAATATATGGGGAACACTGTCTACTAAATTTTCCCTTATTCTTGTTCAGGATAGTATTTTGTAAGAAAGAAATCTCCTTCCCACATATTCATATACTTCACTCTTTTTGTAAATGACCGTCAAATAGTTTAATAGCTTGTTCATTATTTCTATTCAAAGTTTATCTCTTCCAGGCTGGAGAGATGGGTCAACACTTGGGCTGAGCACCAAGGCCAGGATCAATCCCTGACATGGTTCCCCAAAACTGCTGGGAATGATGCCTGAGCACAGAACGAGGAGTGGCCCCTGAGCATCAGAGGTGTGGCCCCCAAGCCAACCAATCAAAAAACCAAAATGCCTCTATTTTTTCTTAATGAATTACTGCATCACTGGTATATAATTTATAACAATGTACTTTCTGATGGAAGAAAATTCTCTGGTGAGTACATTTTTATCTGATAGCAGTTAATGGAATATTATCACAGATAACATATGACAATGTTTATTAAATAATATTGTAATAATTAATAACATTAAAGTCATTTTAATATTTCATTATTGTGTTGGATTTTATTTCAGTTATATAATAAAATTTAAATTTAAAATTCTTACATGACTGCTATTGAAAAATTGGGGCTATATTAATCTCACTCTTGGTCTATTAAGACGATCAAAATGTCTTTACAAAGAGCAGTTAAATGGTGTTAGTCTTGAGATCAGAAAAATAGGATTGATCCTGTTCAAATCCCAGCATCACCAGAAGTCATCCAAGAGCAAAGAACCAGGAGTAAGCCCTGAGCACACCTTAGTGTGGCCCTATGCCACCCACTCCCATCCCCTGCTGCCAAATAGCATTATTCTTATCTTAACTTTCCCCTTTGCCGCATTATATGAGGCTATTAAACCCAATCCAATGCAAGGGAAAAATAGGACAAAAGGAAAATGTAGGGTAGAAAGAGTTTATAGTCTTCATTGGTTATGGCCAAAATAACTTGCTTGCTTTCCAAACGTAACATGACAATGCAAAACCAAGACCACTGGAGCAGAGTTCAAGGGAAAACTGCTCCGAGATTTTCAGAGATTCTTTAAAACAAGAAGGGGGGTTGTAGCTAGTGAAAAGAAAAATGTCCTGACCTAACTCGGGCCCCACCAGGAAGCTCTGGGCTTAAATAAGAACAAAGAACCCAGAGGAGAAACCTTTCAGGTTCCACCCTGGCAGCAGCTAATTTTCCTCTAGGGGGTCCTAAAAGCTACCACTCAAACAAAGCTAAAGCCACTGTGTTTCTCCCATAACTCCCCAAGTAGTACTAAAAACAAAGACAGTGAACCACAAATCACATACCAGAAAAGAGGTAGCCCGAAGCAATAGAAATGTTCACATCCACAAGTGGTGACTCACCCCTACAAATATAAAAAAAAAATCCATATTTTAGATGAGTTACAGATAAGTTAGCTCTTTTTCTAAAATTAAACATAATTGTAATGCTTTCTATAGATTCTCAAAATGGCAAGTTGTCATTTGTGCAAGGTCCTTCACAAGCTAAGGTAATGGCTGTATTTAAGATCCATATATATTTATTATATTAATGATAGGTTTTATTAAAATAATTTTTTATTTTTGGATCACACCTGGCTATGCTCACAGCTCATTCCTGGCTCTGAACTACGGGAACACTTCTGGCGGAGCCCTATGGGGTCCCGGGGATTGAAACCAGGTGGACCACATGCAAGGCAAATGCCCTACCTGCTGCATTATCCACTCCAGTCCCAATGTTTTATGAAAATAATTTTAACAGAAGACAACTTTTATAAATGTATTAAAGCTTTCTGTTTGTGAAAGAATTCAAATGCAATGGGAGATGCTGGGACTGAGGACAGAGGCCAGGACCCCTGTTTGACCTCAGCTCTGCATGCCCCCTCATCCAGCACAATGGCCTCTGAGTGACCCTCACACCCCTGTCCCCAGCACCACAATGGTCTCTCCAGCCATTTGGTCAAGAATCTTCAGGAGAGAAACCCCTGAATATTGCTGGGGGAGGAGGGGCTGGAAAAAAAAAACAAAAACAAACAGAACAGAAAAGACACTCCACATCTCCAAATACTGGGTTAGGGGAATTTTTATTTCTTATTCTGAATCAAAGACTCAAACACTTTAAGAACTTGCCCAGCCATTTTCTGTTATCATCATCATTTTACTGAGGACCAAGGGGTACTGTCTTTAAACAGTTAGGAAATGACTGCATAACAGTCTGTTCCTGCTGTTTCCTCTGTCCTGTTACTCAGCTGGAGCGCCTCTTTCCCAGAAACAAATACACATGATCAACTCATTTATCTGACTGCTATGAACTACTGGTGAAACGAATACAGATAAAACCGGTAATAGCTATACTACAAATGATAAGATTTGACAAAAGTATGTCTTCTTTGTTAAAAATGTTTTTTTTCTGGGCCACACCTAGAAGCACTTGAGGGCTACTCCCAGTTCAGTGCTCAGGGGACCAGGTAATGCTGGGGACTGAACCCAGGGTTTCTGTGGGCAAATCAGGTGCTCCAGTTCTTTGTGATTCTCCCCAGCATTCTTTGCATATTTTAATCTCTAGAAAAATTGAACCTGTAATAAATTCTGACATCAAAGAAAATGTAAAACACCAATGTTTGCAAAGGTTTGAAAAAGACAAAAATTTGTTTAGTGAATCAAATCTTTGTTAGGGAATTTGCTTCCCAAAAGAACTAGTTTTACTGAAAATCATGTAATTAAAATAAAATTGGGAGGATAAAAAGAGGCTAGAAATTATTTAGCTAGATTATGTTAAAACTGGACCAATATATGAAATGCAATAAAATGATTCTCTTTGAAAAGATTCTTCCCAAAGAAAATAGATCAATACCGGGACGCTTCATATAGGCATAATGCCATATTGTTGAATAAAACACAGCACTGTAAAGACTAAATTCTTCATCAAACTGCTCTTCATCATGCAAAGTACCCAGCCACCACATGCCTATGCAATACTGTCCTAGAACATCTCTCTCAAACCAAACAGAATGAAACTTTTTCATATAATACCAGGAGACAATGTTGATAACATTTCTGCCATTAAAATGACGTTTAATTTTTCTAAAAACTGTCTTACATTATTGCTAAACATATTTACACTCAAAGCTTTTCACAGATGCCTACTTCTCCTCAGATGATGATCCAAAATTCTTATTTTCTTTGTTTTTGAGAGCAAATGATAGGTCAGAGGTAAATTTGAAGAAGTGTTAAGCAGCTATTACTATGCTATCTTGTCTCAATAATAACTCATTTTTGCTCAGAACAGTGTTTACAATAACTTGGTTGGCCTTACTATAAACACAGTATAAGTATTTACACCATACTCATAGTTTTCCTGTTCTGGATAATAATTATGACACTAAGGCAAAATGGTCTTTTCTTGGACTCAAATATAAATCAGTTTAAGACATCCTGCTGAAATGAGTTTGAACACAAGCATTTTAATGAACCAATACACTTTCCATTTTAAAGTAAGAGATGTTCTTATTAATAATTAACAACAACACATAAATCAAGTGGATTATATATTAAAGAATCAGCTTACCAAAGTGGATCATCTTTAGACTTATCAAAAAATAAAATGTACAGGCCCAAAATCCCAACCACCAAAGAATGAACTGTAGAAACTATCCTGAAAGAAAACAAAACACACACAAAGATTTTTGATTTGTTTTTTGTTGGTTTGTTTTTGTTTTTTACAATAAACCTTAATTCTGGCAAGACATTGAATGTCATTGAGAAGTTAAATCTGATAGCCTTTAAATACAGCACATCTGTGAGTACAATATAAAATTGCTTTCTGGAAGTGTAAGGGCCACAACTTCACTTTGGAATAAAAAAAAATAGGATGCCCTTGTTTACAATTTCCTGCTTGAACGCTGGTAAGTCACTTATTGGTTTATAGTTCTGCAGCAGGACCAGACGTATAGTACAGCAGGGAGGGCATTTGCCTTGCACTTGGCTGAACCAGGTTCGTTTCCCTGCATCCCTTACAGTCCCCTGAGAACTGCCAGGAGTAATTCCTGAATGCAGAGCCTGACCATGGCTGGGCCCACAACCAAAAACAAAAGAGCAGAAGGACATATATGATACAAATCACCAAATTTTGTGCAGACACATGACAATTTTCTCCTACTCTGTGCTCTGTTCCCCAACTGGATACCTGTCTGAAGATTCACCTCAAGACTAGGAAGAGGGGCTAGAGCGATAGCACAGTGGGTAGGGCGTTTGCTTTGCATGCAGTCAACATGGCCGACACAGGTTCGATTTCCAGCACCCTATATGGTCCCCTGAGCACTGCCGCACTGCCACGAGCAATTCCTGAGTGCATGAGCCAGGAGTAACCCCTGAGCATCACCGGGTGTGACCCAAAAAACAAACAAACAAAAAAGACTAGGAACACCTTTAGGAACACTTTCTACATCTATCGGTTTCACTCCAAATCCATGAATCAAAATTCAAATGGATCATAAAATGAAGATGCAAATTTTGGTTTTAAGTGTACCTGATAGTGTGCTTGGTTTTTATGCAAGAACATGCATTATAAAAAAAAAAAAAGGTAAGGTAAAGGCCCTCCCGTTGATCGTGGATTTGCTCGAGCGGGCCCAATAACGTCTCCATTGGAGACTTTGTTGTTACTGTGTCTGGCATATCGAATACTTCACGGGGAGCTTGCCAGGCCCTGCCGTGCGGGCGAGATACTCCCGGTAGCTTGCCGGGCTCTCCGAGAGGGGCGGAGGAATCGAACTCGGGTCGGCCATGTTGGCTGCGTGCAAGGCAAACGCCCTACCACTGTGCATTATAAAAAAAGTGTTTCTAAATAGAAAAAAATGAGGACCACAAATTATTACAGAAAGCTGGTATTTAAATGACACATTCAAGTGAAGCAAAATGCTCATAAGATCCAGGTGTTTTCTTTTTACAAAAGAAATAAAGTTTAAATGAAAACCATCATATGTAATTCATAATGTAATGACTCTTCAATACTTTAGCTCTATGATATACCACTTGGAGTACTGTCTATAGGATACTGTATATTTATACAAAAAAGAAGCTGACAGAGGCTTGAGCCATAGTACAGTGGGTAGGGCGTTTGTTTGCCTTGCACGCGGCCGGCCCGGGTTCGATGTCCAGCATCCCATGTGATTCCCTGAGTAGGGTTCGATTTCCAGCATCCCATGTGATTCGCCAGGAGTAATTCCTGAGTGCAGAGCCAGAAGTAACCCCTATACATGGCCGGGTATGACCCAAAAAGCAAAAAAAAAAAAAAAAAAAAAAGGAAGAAGCTGACAAGGAACAGTATTGTCCCATTGAATAATGAATAGAAAAGGGAGAGCAAAATTTTACTTTCAGAAATAAATGGGCTATAATAAATTTATTTCTACAATATAAATCCAAATTTTCAAAAGTGAAATATATCAATTAAAACAAATCAGTGATATATTTATTGAAACACATTAATTAGTAGCTTGATATTAAAGAATTTTTTGTGACCTAAAAATTAATAGTTGATTTATCATATTACATCAAATCATATTTTGAATGTTCAAAATTTCTACTTCAAGGCACTGATAAACAATCTTTTAAAAGACCAAAGACCCTTTTGAAGTGTAACTAACTCAATTTATCTATTTTACAAGTCTGGAATTTACATTCTGAGTACACCCACACAAATGGCATTCCATTGGAATACAAAGGGATAAAAATGTGAGCTCCTTAATGTCAAATAATAAAAATTCCATCTAGGGTCTGAGATACAGCATAAGGGATAATATTTGCCTTGCATGCAGCTGACCCCAATCTGATCCTCAGGACCAACATATGGTCTGAGCATTGCCAGGAGTGATGCCTGAGCACAGAGCCAGGAGTAAGTTCTGACACTACCAGGTGTAGCCTAAAAAACAAAACCAAATTAAAACAAAAACCCCTTCTAAATAGTCAAACAACCATCTAGCTACATAAAAATCCCATAAAAAGGAAATTTTAAGAGCTCTTACTAACCTGTTTTGGTGCTAGAAGTCATCTTTCCTTTTGAGAAAAAAAATAGAACTTTTGTTCCTTAGACTTCAATGCCCATTTCTGTTAAAATGTTATATAAAAAATGAGAACAAAACCTGAACTGATAAAAGTGGCATATAATTCATGTTAAATGGTACCTGAATGAAAGCATTCTCATGAGAATGAATAGGAGAAGCAAATACCTTATGCTTACATATTAGTCAGATTTAGTCTCTATGAATTTATAAATTGCTAGTAACGATCACGATCATCCTGTTGTTCGTCGATTGCCTCGAGCAGGCACAAGTAACGTCTCCTTCGTCCAAGCCCTGAGATTATAAAAAGTGCCACATTCAAGGCTCTTTCAGGGTTAGGAGAATGAGACCCATCATTGTTACTTGTATTTGGCATATTGGGTATGCCACGGGGAGTTTGCCAGACTGCCGCGTGGGCAGGCTATACTCAGTAGCCTGCCAGGTTGTCAAAGCAAGAATGAGATAATAAATTGCTAGTAAAATGTTTATAATTTATTGTTCAAATAAGACTTCTAGCAAAACAAAATAATTAGTGTATTAAAAAATAAAATACCAGATACTTGAATGTTTTTCAAAGAGGGTTCTTTTTATTTGTTTTTGTTTTAGGGTGACACACAATGGTGCTCAAAGTTTACTCCTGATTATGGACTCAGGGATCACTCCTGGTGAGCTCAGGGTACCATGTGAGATGCCAGGGACCAAACCCGGGTCAGCCGTGTGCAAGGCAAGTACCCTACCCTCTGTTCCAGCCCCAAGAATAGGTTCAATTTTTAAAAGAGGGTAATTTACCTTTTAAGAAAGAAAGACTATTTTAGAACAACTTTAAGTTACAAATTTAATCATACACAACTTACATGCATACACAACGGCTCTAACCAATATTTATTTCTGGTGTCATTTCCGAAAGATAGGTAAAAGGTAAAGGTAAAGGCCCTCCCATTGATCGTCGATTTGCTCGAGCGGGCCCAGTAATGTCTCCATTGGAGACTTTGTTGTTACTGTGTCTGGCATATCGAATACTCTCGGTAGCTTGCCGGGCTCTCCGAGAGGGGCGGAGGAATCGAACTCGGGTCGGCCATGTTGGCTGCGTGCAAGGCAAACGCCCTACCCGCTGTGCTATCGCTCCAGCCGAAAGATATGAATTCATTATTGAAAGTATGTCAGAGAAGAATGCAAAACAGCTGGACTCTATTTTGACCTTCCCAAACTTTCCCAGGGCGGAGGAAAATCCTAAGAGTCTTCACCATAAAAAGTTTTGTACAAACTGAAAATTTTATTAGCTCCTAAATAAAAACAAACTTTTAAAAATATTTTAATGTATAAAACAAGGTATTTTTAATTAGTCAATGGCATTTTCATATCTTTACCTTGAGTTCCATTCAATCTTCTTTTGAGGACTGAGTTTTCTAAAACCTGTAGAAACTTTTGCTGAAAACCAAGAACTTACAAGGTGGAAAAGAAGTTGAAAGGTGAGAAAACTGGCAGCAAAAGTAGTGGTGATATGTGAGTTATCCATATTTCATCAACCTGTTAAGAGAAGTGACAGTGATAAATTACATTAACTTGCTCATGATAAATCCATATTAACTTTTCAATATTAAAAAGAGCACATGGGTGATACTTGGAATTGATCACTCTGGACAAGAACTGAGTGCTGAAAGAATGTAATGTGATGTATGTGATAACCTTTCAGTACCTGAATTACAAACCTCAATACCTAAAGGAAAGAGAAAGGGGACAGAGAATGAGAAAGAGAGAAAGTGAGCAAGCGACCCAGAGAGAGAGAGAAAGAGAGAGAGAGAGAGAGAGAGAGAGAGGTACCTGCCATAGAGACACACTGGGACAGTGGAGAGAGAACCTGGGGACATTGGTGGAGGGAAATGTACACTGGTGAAGGGACAAATCTTCAAACATTGTGTGACTGAAACCCAATCATTAAAAAACTTTGTAACTGTGTATCCCATGGTGATACAGTGAATATAAATAAAATAATAAGCATACATGGGGACTGGAAAGATAGAACAGTTCTAAGACACTTGCCTTGCTCATGGTACCCAATAAGGTCCCCTGAACCTTCCAAGAGCGATTCTTGAATGCAGAGGTAGAAGTAACACCTGAGTACCGCCAGGTATGGCCCTCTCTCCCAAAAAGAGCACATGGTACATTTTTAATAATTCATTTTAATTTAGGACAAATGGATACAAAGGAATAATAAAATGTTTATATGTATTGTGTTCTTTACCAGCTATTTATTTTTATTTAAAATAAAATAGGACAACAATCTTAAACATTAAGGTAAATTTCAACATAGCATAAATTTCAACAGAAATTTAATGTTATGTCTCAATTTTAGAGTCCAACATCAAAGCAGTTAAAGTGCTAAAACTGAGCTACTCTTTCAGAAATATTATTTTTATTTTTCAATGAACAGAAGTTATCATCTAACATATCTGTGCTTCAATAAGAGAGTTGGGTAAATGGTTTTCTAAGAAAAAAGTTAATTGTCTGGGGATGTGACTCAACAGTAAAGTATGTGCCCCTTATGTATGAGGATCTTATTTTGATCCCTGGCAACACACACACACACACACACACACACACACCAAGCATTCTTCAAGAACACAGACTACTACTAAAATTTGTACAAAACCACTCCATTAATTGCCAAAGCAATGCTGAGAATGCATTCTCTTCTCACCTTAGATAAATTATTCTACAAAGTCACAATGATCACAACAGTGTGGTACTGGAATAAAAACAGACTCTCATATCATTGGAATAGAATTGTAAGTAAATAAGCCTTCAGATGTATAGACAATTTCCAACAGAGGATCTAGGAACATTAAAAGGAACAAGGAGGAACATAAAGTGGAACAAGGAGAGACATTTCAGCAAAAGGGGCTGGAGACAGAACTATATTATAGGGCTAAGGCACTTGCCTTGCATGCGCCTTCCTGCAGTTCTGACCCTGCCACTGCTAGAAGTGATTCCTAGCACAGAGTAAGAAAAAGCCCTGAGAATTACTGAGTGAACTCCCATCGCTTCCCCCCCTTCAAAAAAAATGATGCTAGGAAAGCTGATTAGTCGTATACCTCAAAAAGTGCTGGTTATCTCACACCAGACATATTTTTCTTTCCTTTTCTTTTTGTGGTGCCAGGAATGGAACCCAAGGTCACATATATGCAAAGCAAGTGTTCTATCACTGAGCTACATAATGGTCAAAATCTCTTTTTTCCCTTTAATTATTTTTTATAGCAGTGTTACTCTTTCCTGCCCCATGCCTCCCTGCATTCTGTTTACCTTGCCTGCCTTGGTAATCTCAAGTTTGTTGTCAGAATGCAAGGGTTTAATTTCACTGGCCATTGCCCATTCCCTTGCATTCTTTATACACATGTGCAATCAACTGGCATGACACTTTTTAGTTCCATCCAAGTTATAGCAAAACATGGGATGTTGTCTTTTTATTATAGCTGAGTAATAGCTTATTATGTATATGTATGCCACAATTATTTTGGGAGGAATGTGAGGCGGTTTAGGCAGCAATGATCAGAGGCCAATCTCCTGGCTCTGTGTTTAGGAACCACTCCTGGTGGTACTCAGGAAACCATATGCAATGCTGGGGATCAAACCATGGTTGGGCTGCATGCAAGGCAAGTGCCTCACCTCCTGTACTCTCTTCAACCCCATATACAATTTCTTTATCCATTCATCTTTAGTTGGGCATTGGAGGTTATTCCATATCCTAGCTATTCTAAAAAGTGTTGCAATAAATATATGTTTTTTAATTAATGGTTTTGTATTCTTGGAGTAGACGCCAAGGAAAGGAATCACCAAATTATTTAGGGTTCTATTCTTAGTTTTTTGAGAAGTTTCCATACTGTTTTCTGTACAGCATGAACCCAGATAACAGTCCTACCAACAGAGGTTCTTTGTTCACTACAGTTCCACCAGCACTGGCTGCATTGAAGTTTCTGGTATAAACCATTTTCACTGATGTGAGATGATATTTTACCATGTTGATTTGCATTTCCCAAATTATATGTGACAAACATTTTTATATTTCTGTTGGCCATCTGCTTGTCCTCTCTGAGGAAGTGTCTGTTGAGCTACTCTCCCCATCTTTTGATGGGGTTTTTTTGTTTAGCTTTCTGGGTGCTGTTATACATCTTGGTCATTAACCCTTTATTAAATGTACAGTGTGCTCTTTATTTTCTCCCATTTCACTGGATATCTTTTATTTGAACCATTTTTTTCATAGTACAGAAACTTCTTAGTTCCATTTCTTTTTATTTGTTTTCTTAGCAATGGAATGAAATCACTGAAAATGTATGAACTCAATATAATTAAGGGTTCTGCCTATTTTTCTCTCAAAGTATTTTATGGATTTAATATTAGTATGCTGATCTTTAATCCATTTGGAATTAACTGTGAATGAATCTAAAGTAAATAAATTTTTATGAAAATTTTATGTTCTTAAGGACAGAGGTAGAAGAAGAATAATTTCATATATGCATATACATAGTATGTTTTCTATGTAACGGAGCTAAACTTGATTTCTAAAACTCTAGATTCCAGGGGCTGGAGTGATAGCACAGCAGGTAGAGCATTTGCCTTGCACGCGGCCAACCCAGGTTCAATTCCCAGCATCCAATATGGTCCCCTAAGCACCACCAGGAGTAATTCCTGAGTGTAGAGCCAGAAGTAACCCCTGTGCAATCGCTGGGTATGACCAAAAAAGAAAAAAATAAAAACCTCTAGATTCCAAACTAAATAAAACAAAAAACCACTAATGCATTTGCTCATACTCAGCATTACACATTTTCAAAGTCTCCATTTGTGACAGAGCTGATCCTTAAAAGGAAATAAATCAATAGATTTTTTTTCCTGCTGCCTAATGTGAATAAACAAAGCCACCTAAGGCAGCCAACACTTAAAGAAAACCCCAGTCATTGAATGCGGGGCTAAGAATCCTGCGTTATTCCATTCCAAACCAGACATTTTAAGCTTCAGTCTCCCAGACAGCCCCTTCTTGAAGAATTCATGCATGTTCAGTGGACTCTTTCCTCATTCTTTTCTAGTGTGTGTTCTGTAAAAATACTGTTATATTGATTCTTCTCTTCCCCTGGTTTCTGTGTTTGTTTGCTTTTTAAAATTCAATATGCTTTTGGGGGCATTAGCATTTTTATTTGAGGTACTTTAAGATCTCTAATTTAGGGGACAGGGAGAGAGTAGGGAGATTAAGATACTGCTTCATGTGCTCTTGACCCAGGTTTGATCCTCAGCACCACAAGCACTGCAAAGAGCAACTTCCAAGCCGAGTGGGGAGCGGCCCCCATCCAACAAGTACGGATCAAAAACCCCCAATTATAATTATTTGTTATGGATCAACCCCCCAAATAATTTGATGTTCTTTAGCCGAGGTTTAATATTAAGAAAATATATATTAAAGTGTGCTTTGTATACAACATAAACATCATATTTTCTAAGTGATGTGGTTTGTTTTTTTGCTTGTTCATTTGTTTTGTATTTTGAGACCACACCTGGCAGTGAACACAGGGCTTACTCCTGGCTCTGCACTTACGGATCATTCCTGGCAGGCTGAGGGGATTTCTGGGATGCCATAGATTGAACCTGGGTCAGTTTCATGCAAGGCAAGTACTCACCTACTGATGTACTATCACTCCAGCCCCATAAGCAATGTATTTCTTAATTTATTTTGGTTTTAGAGCCACCGATGGCAGAGTTCAGGGCTTACTCTGGACTCCATGCCCAAAAGTCTCATGCTTACGGGTCTCTCCAGGTGGTTTTCAGGGGACCATGTGATGTTAGGGAAGGAACCTGGACCTCCTGCATGCAAACCATGTATTCCAGAAGGTTGAACTATCTCTCTTGCCCCATAATAGTGATATTTTAAAAGAAACAAAGGGACTGAAAAGATAGACCAGTGAGTGGGGTGCTTGCTTTGCATATGGCCAATTTGTGTTGGATCCCTGACCCCATATAGTCCCTAAAACTCACAAGCACTGCCAGCAGTGATGCCTCAGTGCTGAGCCAGGAATAACCCCTGGAGTGGTGTTTGGTGTTTAGTGTGGCCCCTAAACAAAAGAAAACAAAAAGACAAAAAAATTTTTTTAAATGTTTCAGATTGGGGGCTGGAGAGATAGCACAGCGAGTAAGGCGTTTGCCTTGCACGCGGCCAACCCGGGTTCGATTCCCAGCATCCCATATGGTCCCCTGAGCACCGCCAGGAGTAACTCCTGAGTGCAGAGCCAGGAGTAACCCCTGTTGCCAGGTGTGACCCAAAAATAAAAAATAAATGTTTAAGATAAAATCAAAGCTCTGACCAGGTAGATGGATAAATGAAAGTAAACAAACAAACAAACAAAAGCAGCTGCCAAAAGAGAGAAAACAATCTAATCTTAACTGTGAGGACGGTTTGCCCTAAAGGTTTTATGAATTGCTTGCAGATAATGAAAGGTGACTGGATTGCTCAAGTAACTTTTTTTTGTTAAAATTTAACATTTATT